ATAGCAAAATTACAAATTACTGGAGAAAACAATGGTTTCACTCATACACTCTAATCAGCATCAGGAAACAGTATCAAATCTCAAACAGTACAATGCTACTTCTCTATAGGTACTTCATACACCTAATGTGAAATGGGAACGGATCATAGTCTGGCTTTCCAAAATAACTGCACCATTCAGAGAGATCAAATGTTTAGACCCAGGAGACATGAGATGGGGCCGCACCATTCAAGCCTTTCTCTATACAAGGCACAGCTCTGCCCTGTCAGTGAGCAAGCTCCCCAGCGTTCCTAGCCTTATTCCTGAATATTCATTTATCTCCTCAACATAGCTGAAGTGGACCATTTCCCTACAACATTCCTGCTCCAGCTCCACTTTCCATTGGCTCACGGTGAGCGGGTAGGGAAGACAGCACCCTCCCTGCTCCCCTCTGCTTTTTTCCATCCACTGTCCTCCCTAACCAATTTCTCCCTTTTAAAAAAGTGTATGTCACCCTCTAGTATCATCTTCTCCAGCACTTGCCGCCATTTTCCTTTCTCTCTACCCCTTCCCCTGACACCAGTCTTTGGTTTTCCCATACCCTACCAATCACTTTGTTAATTCTGATCCCAGGGTTATTCTTGTCAATTCTTTAAAAACTTTAAATTCTACTCCACTGAAGTTGACCACATGTTCAGCTATGACTACTTCCCAATCATCTCTCAGAAGTTCCCAAGGTCTCCATTCTACAATCTCTTTTCTCACCGTCCTCTCACTGAATCTGCTCTATCTTCACTGTAACAGCCAGTCCCCTGACCCAGACCTGGACTCAAAGTCAATAAGCCACTTCTGGCTTCACTGTCCTCCATACTCCAAAAAAGATGGGTACTGTCCTACTCACTCTGATTCTCTTGCCCCCTTGTGTACCCATCACATCCACCCAAGCCAGTCTTCAGCCTGAAGAAGCCTACAGTATTTGCTTTCTCTACTTCTATTTCTGTGGCTAAGAATTGCTAGAGATGATAGATGGGAAAAGTGATGGTGTTGATGGTACATTTTCTTAGAAGTTTAGTGTGAATGCTCTCCTGAATGTTCTCCATGCATTATCTTAAATGCCTATTAACGTCACTACAATGGAATGCTATTTAGCGAAGTTCCACCCGGGTTTTCTGTTCTACTGAGCAATCATTATGTCCATCTTTAATGAACCCTTTATCATATTCCTCAGAATGGCTATTTTCAAAGATTTAACACTTCCCTGGAGTCCACAGCTCACTCCCAACTTTGAGAACACTTCGCTTAAGTTTTTTGGAAGCTAAAGGCCATTCAACATGAGTTTCCTCGTGGTACCTCCCCTGCCTCTCACCCCTTCCATCCCTCAAATTTTCCATGTATCTTCATCTAAACTTGCTGTGTCTTTCCTAACCTAGAAGTTCCTTCTAAGGTCAATCTTCCCCTTAGGTGCTTGATCCCCCTCCCTCTTGCTTCCTCTGTTACTGTCTCACTAGCTTCAATGTCTTCCTCTATCTGATATCCTCCCCTTCACCTCTCTGAGGTTTTCTTCATCCTTTAAGAATCTGCCTTCTTCTCTGCAGCCCCCTGAAAACACCAACTTCTCTCTCCCCTGGGGAAAGTTCTAAAGTGGACTGAACATTCCCTGCCTTTGCAGGAAAAGTAAAACCTTTTCCCCTGTAGACTATAGTTCGCATTTCCCTGCATTAGCTCTCAAAACTAAACAAGTCTCCATAGCTAGGGGGCCAAGGACTCTTTGGACCACTGAAGAACCCTTCTTTTGGCAGAAAGCTGGAGGCTTTGTGTAATATCTGGAAATACACGGTATTGCATAGGACATGCATGCTGTTTAACAAGCTATGAAGAGGAAGCAAAGTCTTTTAACTGGTCTCTGTCTGAATGTCTTGTAATTTCTGTTTAATGGCAGTCTAAATCAGGGTTGGGAGGCAGCCCAAGTCAGGTAGACCCTGTGACACTTCTCTCTTTCCCTAATCTCTCTCACCCAATTCACCATTAAGTCCTGACAATACCATTATTTGAATATCTTCTGTTGTTTGCAATTGCCACAATTTGTTCTCACTCATCTCCCTAGCCCCAGCCTTGTCCAGCTCCTTTCCATTCTCTACACTGCAGTCAGATCTTCCTAAAGCAAATCCCTGCTTGAAATCCTTCTGTGGCTCCCAAGTGCCTAAGGAACAAATCTAAGCTCCTTAGCCCATGCCCTGGCCCCTGCCTGCCTGTGTCTCCCTTCCCCCATCCCATGCCAAGCTCCAGCAATGCCAACTAACTGTTCACCAAATCCCCTAAACTCTCTCCAGCCTCTCTGTGCCTTTGCCCTTTGTTCATTCTTCTCTTCCCCCTTCCCCAACTATCTTCTATTTGTTCCTGGGGACAGTTTAAGGGGATCATCTTCCCTTCAGTTTCCAGGGTCTTCCCTTCCCAGGTACTCTAGGGAAGTACCCCAGGCAACCCTCTATCCGAGTACTTTGCACACTTAGCTGTTCTCATCTGATTCTTGTCTGGACTATTAGCTCTTTATCAGGAACTGTATCTGATTTCCCTTTGTAGTTCCTCTGTTCAGCAAAGGACTTGATACATACACACATATAAATGTTTCTGGAATGAATAAATGAATAAATTAGATTTTGAGTAAGAGATAAAAATTTATACTTTTAACATTTAGTACTTCAGTGCTGTTTATTTTCATGATGTTGTTTGGTTAGTAAATAGAGATGAATTTGCACAGATTAAGGCCAAAAGGTAGAATCTGCACAGATTAAGGCCAAAAGAAATGGAGGACTCTGCATTAAACAGACCACAACATATACAACTTCTACAACCACTGCTAACACTGACTGAGGTTTAACTCTATAATCAATTCTGAAGATTTTAATGTCAACCCCCAAAATAACCTCCATTTTATAAATGAAGAAACCTTGGGACAGAAAAATTGAGTAACTTGTCCATAAGTGGCTGAGCTGGGATTCAGACCCGGCAAAGCCAGGGTTTTTTTAAACTACTGCATTGTACCACATGCTGTATGGCCATAATTGTGCATAAAAATGTAAATTGGGTATTCACCTCACTCATCTATGCACTCACCTCAGTGATTCTTTGTTTATTCCACCTTAACTTGGAAACTCACAACTTTAAATATATTGAACTACCAGCATCGAATGATATTTGAGAATTTTTCCAGATGGGCTTAAAAAAACACCTATTTATCCAACTCCTTGCCACTTGCTAAGAAGAAGTTATGGTGGAGGATACATGGTAAGTTGTGTCAATTACATGCATTGTGTTTCCTTTAGAATTGGTTTTCCTATCTCCTAAAGAAGTGGCTGCTTAAAGTTTTGATACCTATTTGTGAAGTTGTATTTTTTTCAACGACATTTCAAAGAAACACAAACTCCTAAGTGAAACTGCAGATTACAAAGACCCTTAGAGAAGCCTCTGCCACTATATGAGGCCTCTAAATCAAAGGAGTTTTACAATATAAAGAGAAATTAGAGAGGGTGTGGTGAGAGAGCCTGGAGTCGTGATTTTCTACAGTAGAGGGAGAAAAGTCTTTAAAAAGAGAACATGCATCTGGACAAAGTCAGGCAAAAGTGAAAAGCTGAATAACTTTGCAAACTAAGTCTCAGAAATTGTTCTACAGCAAATCAGAAGAGACAAGACACCTGATTCAATGGAGAGCATTTAAATGCCAGATTTGTTTTTCTCCTTGGTTTTTGTTTTATTTTATTTCATCTTCATTTTTGGTGGTGGTGCTCTGTATGTGTGTGCATGCACGTAGGTGGATGGTAGAGAGAGGGGGTGGCTAGTGGATAGGAACAAAAGCAGAGGAGAAAAAGAAAATTTCAGTTCCCTGGGGTTTAAACACAAAATCTACTCTTTCAAAAAGCACCAAGTTGCAAGACTTTCTCTGCATTTCTCTAGCATATAGGCAAGCCATAGAAACAGAAACTGCAGTAGAAAAGAGGAAAGAGTAGGAAAAACTTTATTTTGAGTTATCAAAAAGGGAACCTGGTGGTGGTGGGGGGGATCAGCAAAATATAGTCACCTTGAAACTATGCCTCTAGCTCCAAGATTTCTGATGCTTTTTGACTTGTAAACAGTTTTCTGCAGAATACACAAATATTTCCAGAATTTGTGACTTGTGATATTTTATTTTCTTCATCTCCAGTCCTTTGAATGTTCTTTTAATAATAATGGATAAGAGCTTATCTGCATCCTGGCCCAATTTTATAAAACCAAATAATTGCTGAGCTGGGGAAGCAGCTTTATTTGCATTTAGTTTTTTTTTAAAGAGAAATTCTGCCACCCTCTGGACAGAAACCAAAGATCTGTTTCTTAGAGACCACCACAGAATAGCGTTTTAAGCAACTGCCCTTGGAAATAAACATTTATTTTTTCAAATCTACCCTAAAAAGGGGGGTAGGGAGAGAATCACAGTTGCTGTAGATAGCATAGGCAGCATCTAGGGGAAAAATCATTTAAAAATACTAAATTGCCTCTAAGGAATTTTAACTAAAGGAAATAGGTCCAGAGCATTTTAGAGAAAAACCCCCCAGTGTTCAACCTGTAATCTCTCTAGAACCACTTTAGAGCCTACATTTCTGCTCTCAAGCCTGCAAAGGCCAAGTAAAGATTTCTCACACAATCTCATTCACGGCTGCTTTCATACAGTTTTCTTCATTGGTATGTATTTTTAAAATCCACATTTATATTAAACGTAAAAACATATGAACTGGTTTTTAACTAGAACATGAGGGCAGAGTGAGATTTCAGCCACAGTTGAGAGAAATTAGCCACAAGAGCACAAGTGGGAAGCTTGTTTCTGAAGCTCTACTGCTCTCATCCACTGCACGTGGAGGACTTGATGTCATGTAAATGACACTCAAAAATGCAGGATGTGATCATCACCAGTAATAATGCTGGGCAAATCAAAACACAGGACATGCCAGTTTTATAAATTCCAAAGAGAGAAAGCAGGAAGAATAGCATACCTGGTTTTAACAACAGGATTTAGATGCTTCTGGTCTTGGAGGACCTTGGCCAGCTGTTTTTGCAGGAACAAAACCTTTCCATGGACTCCCTTAATAAATGGGTGGTCGAGGAGATGTGTGACAGAAGGCCGCTTTTCAAAATCCTTAATGAGACACCTGTTCACAAAAATCAACAAACAATCCAAAGTACAATCTTGGACACCTGGCTCCCCTATAAATACGGGTGAGAGCAGGAGAAAAAGCTCATTTATAAAACCTGATCACTAACTTTACCTAGCTCTTTCTTTATTCATATGTATCAGAAGATAGAAAAAAAAATTCCCTACTAGTTGAATTAATGAAGACATCAGAAATCTATTTTAGTTTAAGTACATATTGAAAACACAATCAATTTAATTTGAAATATTCAAAACACTAAAAAAATAGGCTAGTCAGACAATTCTGTCTGAATTTTCATTACAGAAAAATGTTTACAAGGGAGTCAAGTTGGTTGGTCTGTGCACTTTATTTTAGTAGCATATAAAATCACATATTATCACTTAAGAAGTCTTAATATATGAAATGTCCACTCTTTGGTGGTAGGGAAAACATGTTTAGGAATTTACAAGGATAAAAACGAATCATAATGAAACCTTCACAGAGAAAATTCAGCCCCTTGATTTCTAACATCTTCAGAAAAAGCAGAAAAACCTCAGAACAGGAAGTAGCTGCAATATAATTCAGATGAATTGGAAGGGAATTATTCAAACAAGGAACAAAAACTCCATTCAAAACGGGAAAAACTGGGTTGCATTTAAACTCCTCTGCAGTTAATTGATTAAAACTGCACCAGTGTAACTACTTTCTGTTTCAGATTCAATGCCTTTTTTAAAGTAAACAATTGATTTAGTACATTTTGCTGTATGCTGTATGTTTTAAAGATGATTCTGACAGGAGGAAATTTCTAGTGGAACTGAATCTGATGAATACCCTTCCAATTACCACTGCATTTCCATTCTAAGTAGCTGCACTTGACAGGAGGCAGAAATTTCAACATCTGCCCTTTTAAGCTATCAGTCTTTAGCTCACATTGGAGGCTTAGGAGAAATACTAGATGCCATTCTGCCCACTCCATGAAATAAACATTTCCAGTTTTCCCAGTAGTGACATGCCAGCAACATCTAAAACACAACGTACTTAAAGTAATGAAATGCACTGACAAATGGTAAAATGTTCAGCCTCACCTTGAACATCCTTTCAAAGCATTTAAGCAGAGTTCCTAAAACAATCCTCAACTGTTAGATTTACAAAAAGGCCTTAACCTTTGTGGTCTATACTTCAAGCCACTTTCGTATCCCTCAACTTTTAGTCCTGCAAGATACTTGATAATTCTCCAGTCATCCTGTTTTAGAATTGATTTCAGGGACTTCCCATCTACTGGAACTGGAGTTTTCAGCTAGAAAAGCCAAAAGAACCTAGATTATCTCCATTCTGCTGCCTGCACGTCTATAAATACCACCTCTACCTTGCCATGGGAAGAAACCAATCATCTGACTTTTACAGGTCCAGGGGCCTTTTGTATAATCTAGCATTTTTCCTACTCAAAATAAAAAATCAGTGCACATGCTTAAAAAATCTATGTTCATGTTTCTACATAGCAATCTTCCCTGGATTCCATGTATATTCATCTGTACATGCATATGTGACTACCAAAGGAAAATAAATATGCTAACATTTCCCTAAGCACCTGGAGAAAAGAGAACCACTTGGTAGTTTATATGGACAGTAATACAGGTGTATGACCTCATCCTCCTGGCTGGAGGGATGGTATATGAAAACTATCCCCATAAAAACTGTGTTCTCTGAGAGTTCCTACTGAAGATAGACATGGTGGCTTCGAACCCACCCCCAACCCTCAGAGGGCATGGGTAGGACAGGGGATCAAGAACATCTGGAACCTACAGCTCAGCTTGCCGAGCAATCTGGGGCAGGTCACCTTACATCTGGCCCTCATCACCAAAAAGACACACCTTCTGTACCCAAGTATATCCCCAAACATGGGGAGAGCAATTTCTTAATAGGTTTCCCCCCTTTTTGTTCTTATTGGACAACACTCAACTGCCTGCTGACCAGTGCCAATACTTCAAATGAGTAAACTCAAGGGGGCTGAAAGAGGAGGCATAACAATTAATAGAAAATTCATAGCATGTGAATGGGAAAGTGAGCAGGCGCTGAGTCTATCTGCTCCCTCAGGATAGGTGCCTTGGAACAATGTACAGGTAATTAAAGCTCCTTGGATAAGATTTGAGAGAGGCCAGGAAACCCATATTACAGCCTTATGATAATAGGTCTCTGCTGGATTCTGGAGATGCAATGAAAGGTACTACATATTGTTTCATAATTTTAGCATCCAGTGGGGGAGCAAGGTTGCAAACAAGGCTGCAAGATCATTTGGTATTTTGGAGAGGATCTCTCTCTAGATCACAGAGGGAGCAAGAGAAATGAGGACTAAATAATGAAGTGAGATAATCATACAAGGAAGAAACAAGTACATCTGATGTCTCTTGGAGATCCAAAAAATAAAGATGGTAGGCATTCTACTCTCAGAAGCAATGATCGAGAGGATTTGTTAGTTCTCTTAGTAAGACCCAAGTGGGTTGAATGCCATACCATTGGATCAGCAAAACTGAAACTGAATGTATATGGGAAGAATGCTAAGCAGAGTTGTGACATATCCAACTGCACTGGAGGATTTTTAGGAGAAGGACATGAAGACCTTGAGGGTAT